TAGGGGCATAAGAAAGAGATAAGGGACCTCTTGAAGAAGACAATGAACAAGTTAATGATAACCTCGGGTAAACATTAACATGAATGACCTATCATTATGATACAATGTCAATGTTTCCCTTTTTATGGTTTTATTTTGTTCAAACAAGAACTGTCAAAAATATAGCATGACTATAGTGCTTTCTGATTGGCCTGAATTTTGTATAGAATGCCTAGCTCTGTTGAAATTTTGTATTTAAAATAATGACTACCAAATAGCAAGAATCAAGGCTAGACAAAACATAATGAATATAACAAAATTGGCATTTCAAAAATCCATCATGTATAAAATGAAGCACTTTTCTTCTCGCAAGTCAAATATCGCATGAACTTTAATGATCAGAAGAAAAGCCCGGATTCCCAGAAGTTCAAACATTAAAAGGGGTTTTCATGGAATTACTATTTTGTAATCAACAACAATTCCTGACAACATTGCATTGCATATTTTTCTTCGAGTGGCCCTGATGTAATGCAAATATCGCAGTATTGGTTTTGATAAGATCGTAATGTAATGACCTTCGAAAGCCAGTAAATACTACAGTCTCAGCTGTATTGGCTACCCTTTATGGCTCAAGGGTAGAGCGTCTGACTCTGAGAGCGGAACGTCCTGGGTTCGATTCCCGTATGGGGCATTGGATTTAGCACATTCTCTTTCGAGTCTAGTATCTGGCTCGGTACACCGACGAGCGTGCCCAAGGGTCGTTACAGTAACAAATTCCGTGGTAGAATTATTTCTTCATAACAGCACTTTAAATGTATACGCTGTGTGACCTATGGTCTTCGCATTTATATGGTACAGTTTGAGCTGCCGTCCGCAGAGGGTTTCTGAAAGGGATTATTGCTTTGAGAGAATGTTTGGAATTAAACAACCCTGATATTTTATGTGAGATTTAGCATTCCAGGGATAAGTGATTTGGCTAACCGTTCCCAGGCCAGAATAGGGCAGATGTTAAATTAGGTTTCATTTGTCTTCTAGGCATAAACCTTGCAAAATGTCAAACAATATATTAGTTTTGGCAATAGGGACATAGTACACCATTGTTCTATATTGTATTTGCTTTTGTAGTCGCGTTTCGATGATAGGATATCATTCAATGAAATTAAAAAGGTTATTCAAAACAGAAAGGGGCCTTTTAACGTTAACAATGCAGCAATGCTTGGCTATAGTTTTTTCATGTTGACATTTCCGCATCCATCCTTTCCCTTGCACACATGCCTGTGGCCATAGATCGATATGGTATGACATTTCAATGAGATGTATGCCAACCATCCTAACAACTAATCCATTTCGTTTTAGAGCCAACAAAAAGTTCCAAAAAATCAAGACCAACGTCCTGTTTAAGAACCCCTATTCTTACGATTGAAATTGGATTCTAGCAATACTATCCAACATAAATGTATTTGTTGGAATTCGATCAACTTGGAGTTTTTTTGAGAAAATGAGGATTTCAGAAAGGCAACATTGACTTAACATGGGGATATGCACCATTGATTAAATGACTTAACATCGGGATACCATCGCCTTAAGCCCCTTTGATTTTTTTATGGTACTATAGCGAATATTCTGAGACCCATATCATCCTCAATGAGATGGTAAACATGAATGCCTGAATAAGGGAGCGATTTATCGATATAAGTACTTTCAAAATAGGAAGTTTGGGGCATCTTCAAATACATGTACATTACATTAAGTCAAACATTTGTGATAAAGCTGAATTTCCAAATCGCCAAACAAAGTACCTTTTATAGGTATTCCACTTGGGGCACTTGGGGAGTCGATGTTGACAAACTTTTCTTGGAGATTATGGAGTCCCTCAGATTGAGCATCTTTCCCTTCTACCCTCTATGGACAGCTGCTTTCTAGTTTTCCCATACGCATAGACCTATTTTCAAAAGACACGATGACTTTCGAGCTAAAGATAATCGATCGCATCAAGGAATTCGTTATTACAAGCAATAAAGGTAGCATAAGGACTTTTAAGGCTCTACATGCGATTATATTCTACTACTTAGTAAATATTTTCTAATAAAATGGACAGCCGGGCATTTGGGGTTCTAGATGACATATTACAATGAAAGTGAATCGTAAAACCTTAAATAAGAAAGGGAAAATATCTGACTTGGGTAATTTTGGAACAACCATGTAGGCAATAGTTAGCATGCGTATATTTTGTAAGGGGTTTGATTATAGCCACGAAACAATAGAAGCTGAACGGCTTACTGGCTTTAACGTTAATTAGAAAAGCACTGAGACTGAATTATCCATTAAAACTAATTTTGCTTGGAACCTAGACGAATTTCTCTATTCATGGTCATTTATTGATTTTTACATACTCCTTCCATAAGTTTGGCGACCGGAAGTCCCAATTTGAATCACTTTTTAAAGTCTACTTAGTGTTTGGAGAATTAAAAAAAATACTCATCTTATCTGCCATACATTTCTGCACTCCTGAATTAAAGAACAGAGTTAAAATTTGATCTACAATCGAATGTAAACTTCCAGTTGCCAGTCTTATAAAGGACAGTGTATACACATCTTCTATACGATTACTGTGAAATTGTTAAGTATGGTTTGTATGACTTTCGGGGGGGAGGGGGTTGTTTGATTGTTTTATTTCAATTTTACCATTTGGCTCTATCGGTTTATCATCAATCATACTCATATTTGTAATTAATGTAATTTTGCTGTGATTCGATTATGAATTCAAAACATTACCATGTTTGGCACAATATAGTTAACAAGGTAGCTTGCCCGTAGCCGGCTTTTACCAGGAGGGGGAGCTTTTTTCCAGGGGGGGGAGCTTTTTCACAATTTTGGCTAAAAATAATGCGAAAATTTTTCAGAATGGTGAAAAACTGCATGATTTTGAAAGAATTTCTGACCAGGGGGGGGGAGCTTCCGCTCCCCCAGCTCCCCCTCTGGCTACGGGCCTGAGGTAGTGCCATTCAAAATGCCACCACCTGTCATTTGTCACACTCGTTTGACGCCACTCGCCATCTGCAGTTTTCAGAATTAGATGACGACTACAACAATGGGTCTTTGTGGTGGTGACAATACAACTTTCGCAGAAAATAGACGGAATTGCGATTGTGCTGACAAAATATATTCGAAGACAAATGTGTACTTCCCAATCATATGACTGTTTTATTTATGTTCTTTGTGACGTCGTTTATGACATTTTAGGCCTGGGCGTTATTTCTGGGTCCTGTCAATAAGTTGGTTTTTACTTGGGAAGTATAATATTTTCATAAAATCAATTTTCTAGGTGTCATTGCTCGACAGCAACTTGATAATAGGCGTGTTCTTTTATATAACATACATTGTTAAAACGATGGAAATGTCACTCTCGAATTAATACACATGAATAACGTGAGTCTATTCCAAAGTAACACTCAACTCTGATTAATTAAACTACAAACGTCTTTACGCCGGTACTATAGATCATGAAATGTCATTGAATAATAGAAAACGAAGATTCAAGAATAAAACCGATTTTCTACTCAAGAAGAACAAAACTGAAATCGAGTGACATGCGATACAAAATATCACATACCCAGTACAATTAAATAAGTTGTATAGATTAGATACAAAGGAAGAATATTGTACAGATATTGACCTACAGTATGCTGAATAGCTAACCTTACACCCTGTTATGAGGTCATTGTGGCTGATTTGATTTTCCTGGTCACAACTTCCACACGGCGATCACGTGTTATTTTGGAAAATAACTACAATCTCTAAGCAACTTATCCCAGTGGTCGGTAAATAACTAAATATGCACAAAGATATACTTCAAAGGACCACGCAGTGTGTTTTTACGAATTGGGAGAGCTTTATTTTTGAAACATTTCTTGAGGGATGTTGGACAATACGCCAATAGAATTTAACCGATAAATTCATGGATTGGTAGCCTTTGTCCTCAATTTTCAATTTTGTCAAATCTCAATATTACTATTTTTGGGAAGTAGATTGGTATAAAAGGTAATATATTTATCTCAGGTGCATTTAGATTACACTTGGCTGTCTTGTACTTTCAGAGTGTCAACTAAACCCATCCCTTCGTCAACTAATGCTGACCTGTATGTGCATTTAGATTACACTTTGCTGTCTTCTGCTTTCAGAGGGCCAACTAAACCCATTCCTTCGTCAACTAATGCTGTCCTGTATGTGCATTTAGATTACACTTGGCTGTCTTGTACTTTCAGAGTGTCAACTAAACCCATTCCTTCGTCAACTAATGCTGTCCTGTATGTGCATTTAGATTACACTTGGCTGTCTTGTACTTTCAGAGTGTCAATTTAACCCATCCCTTCGTTAACTAATGCTGTCCTGTATGTACATTTAGATTACACTTGGCTCTCTTCTGCTTTCAGAGTACCAACTAAACCCATCCCTTCGTTAACTAATGCTGTCCTGTATGTGCATTTAGATTACACTTGGCTGTCTTCTGCTTTCAGAGTACCAACTAAACCCATCCCTTCGTCAACTAATTCTATCCTGTATGTGTATTTAGATTACACTTTGCTGTCTTCTGCTTTCAGAGTACCAACTAAACCCATTCCTTAGTCAACTAATGCTGTCCTGTATGTGTATTTAGATTACACTTGGCTGTCTTGTACTTTCAGAGTGTCAACTAAACCCATCCCTTCGTTAACTAATGCTGTCCTGTATGTGCATTTAGATTACACTTGGCTGTCTTCTGCTTTCAGAGTACCAACTAAACCCATCCCTTCGTTAACTAATGCTGTCCTGTATGTGCATTTAGATTACACTTGGCTGTCTTCTGCTTTCAGAGTACCAACTAAAGCCATCCATTCGTTAACTAATGCTGTCCTGTATGTGCATTTAGATTACACTTTGCTGTCTTCTGCTTTCAGAGTACCAACTAAACCCATTCCTTTGTCAACTAATGCTGTCCTGTATGTGCATTTAGATTACACTTTGCTGTCTTCTGCTTTCAGAGTACCAACTAAACCCATTCCTTCGGCAACTAATGCGACTGTATGGACGGGAAGAACTAGAGACAGCCTTGAGAAAACCAAAACGAGGTAAAATATACAACTGTTGACTTTTCCAGAGGTCAACTGTCAAATTTATTTTACCGTACATTGTAAGAGGCTTCTTTTTAATAATAAGTTGAACAGAGTAGTCAATATTCAAAAACAGGATTTACTTACTTAAACAAATATTGTTATTTGCTCTGTGATCAAAAAGTGAGTATCTTGGTAAGATAATGAAAGCCTATATTATAAAGCTACTAAGGGGTGACTGACGTGGCTGATCATTTTGTTTATATCATATTTGAACGATAAAATAATTGATACATCAGTTCGTTTTGTTCAGTTTTATGAAACAATAAAGCGTTTATATGTCTCCTTTGACCACCAGGGGGTCTTGTTAACAGAAAGAGAAGCCTATATCACTTATTTCAACGTATACAATTACGTCATAGTTAGAGAACAATTGACTCTTAGAATTCTTAACTTTACGAAGTGTCTGTTAATGAAATCCAAGTTTTGTGCTTAGATTCGTAAAATATATTTTAGTAGTCGTTATCAGTTCCTATTTTTGATTTTATACCTCATTTCAGGATATGAGAATGAACAAAGGATGAATGACGAAGAATCGGAAATAGCTGGAGCTATTGATGAGCTTTTGAGGAGAGATCCAGAGGGGGAATTTGGTGAATTTAAAGGTTAGTATTCATCCTTTTTACATTCCAAATCGATCAATATGTCTCTTGGCTACCTCTGCCCCCTTCATGATCTAACGTGAAAAGAAAGAGTTTCTAATACCCCTTTTCGCCTACCAGTCATGACCCAATATCACAATCCAAGACCAGCACACCAAGGTACATTTCAGCTCGCTGACACCACTGACGTGTTTAACATGTTTTTATGTCTATATATGTCTCTGTACAATCAGAACAGTTCTTCATTTCATGCTAAATCCTTCAACAACATCTTATTAATATAAGGATTTAAGAGCAAGACTTTTTAAAAGGTTAAACACAACCGATATATTATAAAACAACTTGTGTACCAAATGTAAGTGTATGTTTTGTTTAAGCACGAGTTTGGAGGGCGAGAGTTTAAGCTAGCATACGATCAAACTAATGTATTATCAGAGATACAACGGATAGCTGAAAGCATAATTAAATTCAATTGGCAAATCTTTTACGAGAGAAAAACTGCTGGTCTGGGCCAACAAGAGAGATGAGCATTCATATGAAAAAGAATATGTTTTCCTTAGTGTCTATTTCTAGCGAAGTAGGTCGAATTAAGGCTGACAAAATAATACTTTGGCGACAATATGTTCTAGGGATAAAACTTGACACTTATATACATTAATTTTGTCAGTATCAGATTAGCAACATTTAAGGCGACGCAAAATTGCTACTTATTATCTTTTGTAATAGCCTTTTGATGGACTCCTCATAAATCTTTTCTGTGTAAATAAAAAAATGTCAATTATTTTTAGCCTAATATACAGGAATCAACTCCTCACATAAAGACCAATATGGTGTTTGGTTAGCATGTTTTGTTACATTATGTATAATACAATCCGTGTCATCAAGATATGGATAAACGTAAATAATGTGGCAAACCCTTTACGTTTTAATCATCTCTATGACGTATATGTTACAGAGGAACAGTGCCCGGCTGTTGATCACGTAATCACCAACTGTAAGTTTATTAGAAGCATGGGGGTCGGCATGGATGGTGAAGCTCTGGATCTTTGTAACAGGCACGAAGTATGCTACGCATGTGTGAGTATTTTTTTAACGTAAAACAATATTTATGAAGATCTGTTTTAAGTTTTGCAATGTTCAGATCAAAAATATATTTGTGAAACTACAACATGTTTACCGTCAAATCTTATATCAGAAACCATGGCCAAATAAGGCATCTTAAATAAATAAATTACGTGTATATTTACATATTGCTGTATGCAAGCACTTTTCCTTGTAATTTGGGAATTCTCTGACAAATTCCAAGTAGCCTTGTTTATACTTCCAATCTGTGATGCTAGACTTTCGATGCTAGACGAGTAATGATCAAGTTTTTCATTGATTTGTGGAAAACTGATACTAACTAGCTAATCAGATACATCATGCCCTCTTTTTCTATTAGAATATATGTTTTGGAAATATAAGTATAACAAGTCATATGAAATATTTCAGATAGTGGTTGGATTGTTTGGTATAAAGCTGTATTTAACCCGATTTGTGGCGTTAGACTTTTATGGAAATGCAATAATTTATGTTCCAGGGCGAGAGTCTCGGACGTTCTAGTTTGGATTGTGACGAGGGATATCTAACAGCAGCGGACGAACTCTGTACAACAGAATCGTGCAGAGATGACGCTGTAAAACTTTATATGCTGATGAAGGACCTCCACCAGTTTAATCCAGACAAAGTTGGACTTTGCCAGAAATCTTGCGTGGTAGATTTCATTTACGGAATCTCCTCATAGAGTCACGTGACACCTTGTTCGCTGACGTTTTTGTCATGTGACTAGGTGGTTAATTTATCTGATCTCTGTGATCGACATAATTTAATGTTTAAATAAGAAATTGTATATGTTTATTGATGAAATAATTCAAATTGAGAATCCATACATGGATGAGAGGCCGGGAGATGTGCAATATTAATATATTCGTTTACATTCCGTAATTTAGATAAGCTTATGGTCAAATCCTAATTTTAGACATGCTCATAGTATTTTCTCATGATCGTCTATCAGACAGATTTCCAAAGAGGTAGCTGTAGTGGTGGCATATTGATGAGGTTTTACTATGTAACCATAGTCAGAATAGGTATGTAAAATATATGGTTAGATTTTAACCGTACGTGACAGTAATTTATACGTACATTTGCAGGCATAAGAAAAACACTTGATTTGAGAAGCTAGACCTAACATTTTTGGTAACGATTTATAGACTGCAACCAAAGATGGACGAAGATCTACCTTAACCCTTTGAGGAATCTGATTGGTTCTTTTGAGCATCTTCGGCCTTCTGCGTGTTATAAGCATCTTTGGTTGCAATGCATCGGTGCTCTTTCCTAACACTTTAGCAACCACTTGTTCCATTTATCCTCAACAAACTGCTGACGAGTTTAATTATATTTTTCTTGGCGTAGTTTAATAGCTAAGCAAAACTGTGTATATCAACGTTTTGCTTAATATTTTCTGAAATACTTGGCATGGAATGTGCAATATTTTTAGAACACGAAACAAAGCATATTGGTTTAAAAGCCTTATTGGTTATAAACTGTCGCGTATGTGTTTTAAATCGCCATATTGCATCTTTGTCTACAGTACAGTGTATGTCGTTTACACGAGTGGTAATCTAGTCATTTATATGTTTCATTTAGAACATGATGTCAAAAGTATATTGCGGCGTATTACTTACTAAAATGTGCAATCAATTGTATCTGCCTGTACTTCTACAAGTGTATATGTAATATTTTATTCGACATGCTTTATTGTTATCTATAGTACAATCGGTTTATATCACTCTAATAGAATATAAGACATGTAATGCTGCCTTTTTATGAACACTAACCTTACATCAACAAATAACTGACCTATTAGAACTCAATACAGTATTATTGAATATGCTATATATGAAATCTATATTTCTACAACTACTATGATTGGTACCTCTACTTAAATGTGCAATTATTCTTGTGACGTAAGGGTTCGCCCATATTGTCATAATATACATGCAATTCTTGACTGAACCTCTAGATTAAGAATAAAGGCTTTCAACTTACATGTACTTGTAGATATTTGAAGGCAGTTATTGCATTGTTAAATGAGAAATAAATTAATATCCTCAAAGGCAACGAGAAACAAATTTACCTAATTAATATCACTCAGATAAGGAACAATTACGTTTTTGTTATGTTATGAATAAATGCATGTGTAAATTGATACTAATTTTTGGATATGCTTTGAGTATTGCAGTATTTGAAAACGAGGCTATAGTTCAATATGTTTTTATTCCATATAAATGCAAATGACTAAATTCTAGATGCTGGCATGGTGTTACCCAGGATATTTTGATTCCATTACGTCTGTATGAATATAAGTACCTGATTGGCTTTTAGCTTTACCTTTGTAGTTGATGTTTGAACTTTTTTGACGAGGATGTTCAAGCTAGTAGGAACAGTAACACATGACTAGGTGCTTTTAGAAACTTTTGCAACACGTGACCTAAGGACGCTTAAAATGTAAATGTGGTTTACAGAAAAATTATAATGGGGAAGAGAACTCTAATGCTACATTTAACACAAAAACTAAATCAACAGTTTTAGAATTATCAAATATATCTATATGAGGAAAATGTCTCGCCAATAATTTTCAGAAAGATCTTTTTTCATTGTTTCATTGTCTGAACTATGAAAATTACTCATTGTAGTAAAGTATTCTCTTTGGCTTACGTTTTACCGCATCTATTTCATGGCATTTTAAGTTTATTAAAAGTTCCTATTACTATCGATGTAATTTCCATATTTGACTGCCAACCAAGAGGTGAACTAAGATAAATTGATGACTTTGAAGAATCACTATTTGTGTGGATTATCGTTAAATTGTAGTTTAATTATTTTTTCAATAAATGTCTAGTGTTAAAATACGTCTATTGTTATGTTATGTTATGTCATTCGATACTGTTGGAAATGAAAATATGCTTAAATAAAAATGGAGTTGGATTTTTGTATGCAAGGGCGATCCATATATTCTGATAAAAAATCCATGCCATCCTTATCTCAAATTAATTTAAGATATACCTATACTATTTTACCATAGTACGCGTAATTACATAATCTGTAAGTCCTGAAAAAAGAGGTGGATTGATCAAAAAATACAAAATGAGAGCATTTCTAATAGAATATATTGATCGACCCTTGTATATTCCCGATGGAGAATTCAACACTTCATTTAATGTTACTATATATTTTCTCATTATCGACTACAGATATGGAAGAACAACATTTAATTAAACGTTTTCTTTATTTATAAAACAATGTAATTGTCAAAGAAAGTATATTAGCAGCACTTGGAAATTTCCTTTTTATGAAAATGATAATGTATATGTCGTAAATCCAAAATACAGGGTGGTCAAAAAGTTGCAATCCCAACGCTATATTCCACATATCCTTGTCATTTTAGGAAATTGCTCCCTAATATTTTGGCGCATTTGTACATCATTCATTTTCCTATCATATTTCGTGACTGTGACATGATGTTACAGCACGTTAAACAACATGCTGCAGTGGTCACTATAGCACTGTATGCAAACCTGTCATACCGGTGGTGTACAAGAATGACCGCAGGACAATTGCAGACCACAAAAGGGTGATCAAACGTATCATCTAAGCCATACCTGCCGAGGATTGCAGTCGGGTCATTGACAAATGCAGGTTAGCCCGCAATTGTGGGCATGTTGTTGAAAGTACTGTAGCATCGTGACCTTCAAGCTGATGGTCGTGGAATCTGATATAATGGTAGGAAATTAAATGATGCATAAATAAGCAAAATATCAGGAGCATTTTTCTAAAATGACAGATATATGAGGAAAATGCAGGGCTGCCGATTTTAACCAACCTGTACCTGCACAAATTTCTCTCAATGGTTGATCTTTCTGAGCAAAACATTCACGAATTAATCGAAATGTCATTTTTAAAGACATCTATTCACACATAAGAGGAAGACTGCATTTTCTCTAAAAGGCATTGTCTGGCTTTCAGCGATTAAAGTAGTGCTATACATCACATAAAATAAAATGGTATTATATATGGGTATATATGGGCATCATATCAGTAAATTCAATTTTGATTTACCAAATTTCTCAAAGGAATATCGCTTGTAAGTTTATTTAAGAATATCATTTTTAACTTATCTCACTATATTTAGAGATTATACTGACATATCTTGATATTCTCAACCCTGCTTATATTAGAGTTCCGTATAAGTAATTTTACACTGTGTATAATTGGCAATCCAAAGCGAATACACGCAATAATAACAAATTATAAACAGGTACAATTCCCTATTTACACAGTGTAATCTTATATGTGTGTATGAGAAATTAGGAACACAAAATGTCAAACTCAATAGAAAACACGTGATATACGCCATGTAAAATGTGCATTTCCACTATACTAGCATATTCTTCCAACATTTCATCCTTCCACGTGTATATTTCTCAAGATCTTGTCAGACAGATCAGTGAGTCAATTCCCTTTAATCTTACGCTTGAGGACGGAACAATACATTTCGAGTCCCTGACTCTCGATTTGAACATGTTTATCACAGGTGAACGTCAACTTTTTTTCTTACTAGCCATGTTACAGAAAACACCTTGAGAATGTGTTTATGGTTAATACATTTTCTTGAAAATGTCAAGTCATATATACTTTCCCCAATGAGATGTTTCTCAAATGATTCAAATATTCACGTACTAATCTCAAAAACATTGTAACTTAGTCAACGTTTTAGATATTTTTATAAATAGCAATTAAGACGACGTTTTAACAATAACAGGAATTGACACATTCAAACAAACGTATCATTTAAATAAATATATATATGTCTTTTGATATCATAAGATTACATATTGATTAAAATGAATGTCTCACATACATTACTCATGGATATTAAAGAAAGGTAAGATTTAGTTTATAATTATTCATAATCATATCAGTTATAAACACCATGTCTTAATTCCAAAATGCCAAATGTAATTTTTTGTGGGTACAATATGTGGTTCGGATGTTGAAGGGTGTTTCTCTGTGACGTGTATTGCTGTTTTCTCTGTGTCGTGTACTACTGTCTTCTCCGTGATGTGTACTGCTGTTTTCTCTGTGACGTCCATTGCTGTTTTCTCTGTGACGTGTTTTGTTGTTTTTTTGTGACGTGCATTGCTGTTTACTCTGTGACTGGATTGCTGTTTTCTAAGTGTAGGTACAATAATTACTTTTTGGTTTTATACTCCTTTAACTGCTATCGGGATTGCTTTACTGACATATTTATGGGTGCTTTCTAAGAACAGTTGTACGTCAATTCCAAATTATTTCAATGCCTGTAGCAAGTGTTGTGAAGATTTAAGGCAAATATTTCGGTTTATGATGGTAAAATTACTATGTTCATATTTTTCCATGTCGATCACTTTCTGTTTAGATGGATGTTGTTCCTCTCCTTTCGAGAGTTTCAAATCAAGGTCAAATCAGTAAATGCCATGCAAGACAAAATTTACGTTCAGATTCACAAATTTAGAAAACATTGAGTTATGACAAAAACTATGACAACTGTAACACAGTATTAGAATGACATTTTGAACGAGTATGGTTTAGTAAAGATGAATCCTAAAATTTTAAGAAACACCGTTATGTCATGAGTATGGCTACATCACCACAATAGTATTAAAATTATTCTGATTGCTAGTAAACTCAATACTCTTGTGTATATCAAGTACTAAGAATAACAATTATATATAGTTCATTTATCAATATTCACTTTTGCAATCTTAATCCATTTTTGATGCTTTATAGGTTGCTATAATGATTCCTTGACAATGAACATATGACAATGTTGTCATTAGGTCAGAGTGCAGACATGTGGGTGCGATATAGTTCAAAGTGCATACGTGTGGCTGAGATATAGTTTGCATTATTTATGAATATTCACTTTTGTCATCTTAATCAATTATTGATGCTTTATAGGTTGCTATAACGTTTCCTTGGCAATGAACATATGACAATGTTGTCATTGGTTCAGAGTATAGACGTGTGGGCGCGATATAGTCTGCTTTAATTATAAATACTCATTTTTGTCATCTTAATCTATTATTGATGCTTTATAGGTTGCTATAACGTTTCCTTGGCAATGAACATATGACAATGTTCTCATTAGTTCAGAGTGCAGACGTGTGGGTGCGATATAGTCTGCTTTTGCTGATCAGTCTTCATATCCAGTTCATCCATTGTTCATGTAAGTGCCATTCTCTATTACACCATTGAAAATTACTTGCAATAATATCATTTGAAAATTTTTCGTATACGTTTATTCGTGTTAGGAACATTATATGTTTTATAATAATTATGTGTTTTTATCACAAGCTCTCTAAAAGATGTCATGCCGATTACATTTCGTAAATAAAAAAAAGATAGAAGTCCTCAATATTATACCTTTTTCAAGGTTCCCATACCTTTTCATCAATCAAATTCAAATCAAATGGCTCAAGGATATATAGGACATCCCATGACTTGTAATAATCTTCAGTGATCACATTGCTAGAAAAAACACCACATTTCATTGACCAGAAATAATTGCTTCATATATGATCGTGAATATTTCGACGTCTTCCCTATCAAATGCAGTGATGGATCGGGTATAATCAAAAATAGAGTTAACAAAATCGCATTTCTAAATATCATCTCTAAAATGAGATTTTGAAAATTAACCATATTTTTGATACTCGAATATGTGACCTCAGCAGACACATCCGGGATAGTATGTACTCTGTCCGGTATACATTGTTTTATACACGGGGTGGTATTGTCATTATAACATTATAATTTCAGCTATGTGTTCCACTGACTTTCTTCTCTGCGATATTAACAAACCATATTGTTGTGGGTGTAATCGACTGTTCCAGGATCCATTCGATGATGTACGTAGGTATTGCGCATGCGTGGATACATAAGTAAAGTTGCGCGTTAGAGAGAACGTATGTACATGAACGTATGTACATGAACGTATGTACATGTATAATGACCCCATAAGATACTGCCCTCACTTAAATTATTTAGGGACTTATTTACAACTATTTTGCTACACCGTGACCACGTCCACATACACATTCCCTGAAACGTGCTGCTAAAGCTTCTTATTTGCTGTGCAAAAGGACACATTTATGTTGAGATTACATTCTTGATATCGTTCTGGTCATGTTTGACTTGGGCTTGAGGATAATTTTATATATCTTTAAATCAAAAATTCAAATATCGTTTTACAGTAAAAACACGCCTAACCAGTCATGTGTGTAGCAAAAATTGTGATTTAGATTTTAAAAGATTCATTTAAGGAATATAAAGTAGTATTTTAGGTTTAATTTCATGTGCATGCTCTTGGCAAGACTTTTAACGTTCTGATTACGTTTAATAGATTCTCGAGCAGTGTTCAATTTTTTTCGAGGTAATTCCACCCACATAATTGACATGTTGGAATATTCACATGGACGTGGGTGGAAAAAGTTGTGCTCTGAGAATCTGTTAACGTAATTAAAAAGTTAAAAGTCTTGCCAAGATATCATTAATATGAAGTACACTTCATCATGTTACATAGATAATAAAAACTTTAAAACCTGCATCACAATTTTTGCCTCAAAAAGCTTAAGTGTACACCCGTGTATTTTGCCAGTGTACGTTGTCGATGGTTAGGCGTGTAAAAGGGCAGTTCATATATTTAAATTTGCAGATTCTTATTACGTTAGTTCATGTATGATTGGTTGAGTAAGTCTACCACATTAATCTCCATTGTAGCAACTCAAGTACCCGTATTCAGTCATAGCCTACGGAGGAGACTGTGCAGATGAGTGTTTGATAAATTTAGCCAATAGTACGGCAGAGGTTGGCTCCTGTGAGAGAGACTATTATGGTAAGTAACAGACCACATCATAGCATACAGGGTGATGTCAAAAATGTAACAAATAAATGAAAACGCCTTTAACTTCTCCATACGTATGTTTAAGCTGGTAAGCATCAACTATAAGGCCGGAGGCCAGCAGTTAAAAGGATTTTAACACAACCCCTGAAACAGAGGTAAAAGAGATTTTTCTAACCTTTCTAAGAGGAGAGGCTAAACTACAGGCTGCGACGACAATTTTTCGTAGTTGTAATAAGGTTCCTATGGAAAACCTAATTAAAAGGGAATAGTTATACATGTGGATCATAATTTTACACGTTCACGTACATATTCTGTTGAAATACGTGTAGCTTATACATGTACCCTATAAAAATGCTCAGTTATACGCGATTCAGTGGGGGAGCTGCCAACATTTTAGATGACAGTGCGATTATGCGTTAATATTACGTCATGAAAAGCTGTGCTCTTTTTCAGATGCGCTTGATAGAAATGCGCAGGGAACCCATTGTAAGTAAGAGGTTAAGGTATTCGTCTATCTACATTATCAAAAAATAGAGAATTAACTTACAATACGGGCCTGCGAAAGTGAATTGATGTCTATGTCATAACTTATGTTCTCTTTGTATGGCAACTCATGGGCCTAATTTGATAGTACATTGATTGATGGCCCATGGGACCTATGACCAAATAAAATAAAATGTATATAACACTTTGCAAAACAAATTCTGCAATACGGCCTATGAGTAAACACCATAAAAGCGTTTAATGGTATCCGTAGATTCAGAGAGTAATATTTAGAATTGCAAAAATTAACGTGATATGACTTGTTACTTGACGTGTGACTAGAAATGTATGTTAATGTAACATTGCACAAAATAAGGTTCCGAAATTGATGAAATACTGAACAAAATACTATTTCCTTGCTCATAGTGCGGTCCAAAAGATACATGCTTACATGTTAATCATACTTGCAGCTTTTGGTGGTGATATTATATTTGATATCAACGTGAGTAAAGTTAAAGGACGGGCTGGTTCAACTGTTGGTGAGGTAGCAGATGGGACTGCCACGCGTTATATGGTGAGGCTAGCCAGAGCGCTCCGAATAAGTGATGAGGCGAAGGGGTCTTTGATTGGAGCTTTGTGTTACTATGGCAACCTATCTATGCACTTTGATTTGGAGGACTTCACTAATGTCGACGATTTGGTGAACGGTCTTTATGGAATGAATCTCACTTTGCGGGAGAAAGCTAAGCCTCACAAATCATTCAATTTCATCCGAGAACACTATTTCAACGATACAATATATGGAAGACGAAAGGATAATCGGAATGTAGTAATAGGTAAGTATGCGGGACGCTTCCTTTGTCAGTGATACAAGTCACAGTTATTAGTTTTTTATCACAAAACCCGCTTGGAACTATACCATTGGATTTCTACGGGGAATTCCTCAAATAGAAAATTCTAGGGATTAAGGAATTGGTACCATTTACATAATTTGAGAAATTATTGAAATACATGAAATGAATAAACACAAGGAGCACACGCGTCTCGAACTCGCAACCTCGTGGTTACGGCACCCAATCACCTAGCTCGAACGTGGAGGCGCTCAAGCCCTCTCGGCCAACATGACAACCCCAAAAAAGTTGTTTTGTCATTCTATCTGACTAGAGGCAGCTGATGTTAACGCTTGAACACTCAAGAGGAAGCACAACGGACATTTTCTACACACACACACACACACACACACACAGCTCAACTGTCCTTAAGAACCCAGAGCGGGTTAAATCTATTTAAACCAGCATTTATATTATTCAAAAGCATTCGTAATCAATAATTCCCAGTCCTCTGAAGTTTGAAAAACAAAAATACCTGTGTGTTAATCAATAGATAATCCTTGAAAATGAGAAATATCTTTTGGATATATGGTGAATCTTAAAGTCAATCAAAAAAAGTGTATTGATGTTTTTTAGATGAAAGACACAAGCGAAATACATTAAAAACTTCCCGATTCATTCTGCAAACAACTAGCGGTCCTTTTCAGTTTTTTCAAAAAAATCTCTCTTTCAATAGAAAGATGTTACCCTTGACCATAGTGAATATTTGGTCATGGTCAATATTTCCCCCTGTCACTGAGGTCCCTCGGGAAATATTGATATTATCCTAGTGATATTCCCCATATCAAATACCTCCTGGTGAATAATCTCTTTAAAAATTGAATAATCTATCAGTCGGAATATCATAGTGGGCAAAAGCATTTAACCCAATAATTATTAAGGGAACTTACACATGAAGCTAGAAGTTGTACTCAATTTTATAGGGCCACCCTATGTATCATATTATGATTATTTTCAGTTTTCGACGATGGGTTTTATACTCGCCAGGGTAACCCAATGCGGGATATAAAGTTCCGAAAGTCTATTGAACAGTTACATAAAGTCGCAGAAGTATTTGTTGTCGGTGTTAGGAATGGATTTCAAAGGAGTTCGTTGATGGGTATGTGCGTTTGAAAATTAGCACCATTAAGTAAAGGATCATATACGAGGAGTGATCATAAAGTTCTTATAATCCATAACTATAGAATTGCATTTTCAACTTTACCATTGTAATAGTTAAAAAACAGTTAAAAATACATCGAGGTTAATATTTAAATATGCTTATTTGATAGCATATGCTGTCAATCGGGGACATTCTCGCAAGACCTAATTTTGCCCCGTACCCCTTGACCTCTGCTTACCATAGAAACCAGCTTCTTTTCGTTAGATTCTTTCTCTAGATAAGTTTTTAACCGGAAGTTTCATTTGGAGACTTCCGGTAGCCAAACTTATGGAGGGAGTCTAGATGACACAATGTATATATAATGACACACATTTTGTTTTAGCAATCAGGAATTGGAAAATGATAGCAAGTGACCCGGATGAAGATCATATAATTACAATGTCTCTAGCTGATTACAACGATGGACGTATTGGTGAAATAGTACATAGAACTCTACAATTGCTACCAAAAACAAAACAAACATAAATAGAAATGGCATATTACAATCTCAATTCGCACTCAAAAAGCATCGTGTCCAATGCAACAATGGACGTATTGGTGAAATAGTACATAGAACTCTACAATTGCTACCAAAAACAAAACAAACATAAATAGTAATGGCATATTACAATCTCAATTCGCATTCAAAAAGCATCGTGTCCAATGCAACAATGGACGTATTGGTGAAATAGTACATAGAACTCTACAATTGCTACCGAAGACTAAACAAACATAAATAGTAATGGCATATTACAATCTCAATTCGCACTCAAAAAGCATCGTGTCCAATGCAACAATGGACGCATTGGTGAAATAGTACATAGAACTCTACAATTGCTACCAAAAACAAAACAAACATAAATAGTAATGGCATATTACAACCTCAATTCGCACTCAAAAAGCATCGTGTCCAATGCAACAATGGACGCATTGGTGAAATAGTACATAGAACTCTACAATTGCTACCGAAGACAAAACAAACATAAATAGAAATGGCATATTACAACCTCAATTCGCATTCTTATTATAAAAGCACTGTGTCCAGACGGTACTGTTGCACATTGGCAATGTATTGCTCTTGGACATTTACTGAATTATATCTCTTTGCCGCTCTCTCTCTGCGACAATGGACCTATTTGTGAAATAGTACATAGAACTCTACAAATGCTATCGAAAACAATTCAAAACAATGGACACATTGGTGAAATAATACAGGGTGACACAAAAAATAACACACACTAATTTTGGAATAACTTTCCTAATAATAAGGAATCTACGTGATCCCTTCTGTGTAAATAGAGTGTTTAATAGAAAAAAGCGTGTTGTGCTTGGATAGCATCAATAACTTTCAGATTTAGAGATATCGTTTCCGTCCAGGCATTGGAATTATCAAAAAATGTTTAAAAATGTTCTTCAATAATTCTGTCAGATTTGATGAATTGACTCGCTTATTGGGTAAATTCTAAGAAAGACAGATTTTCTAACTTACAGTTTTGAGTGATTTTGTTTCAGAGCATGCCAACACGGAAAATGAGATATCTCTTAATTTCCGAGTTGCTGATGCTAAGCAAGCGTACCAATCTTTTTCCATTGAACACTCTATCTACACATAAACATCAAGAATATTCCCCAATCATTGAGAATGTTATTACGAAATTAGTGGGTGGTATTTTTGGGCCACGCTGTACATAGAACTCTCCTTATGCTAACGAAAACAAAACAGATACGAATAGTTACGGAATGTGTGCTCCTGACCATCTTTAGCAATATTCTTCTCTTTATCGCTACTAGAGCTCTCAATTTACCATTCAATCATATCTTGTCACATACGGAAATATCTATTAACATAAATGCATTACTAGTCATGCTATTCTTGGTGTTTAATTACATTATAAATAGAATACAAACGCCAAAAGGATCGGCCAAAAGTGATTGGATTGACATGTGTTCAAATTTCAGATAAGAGATGTGTTCAAATGTACAAGTTTTAATGGAATACTCAAACATCCCATCATTCCGCACTCTAGAAGTAAGTAATCATAATAGTATGATAATAGTAAATAGTATTATGCAGTTCAATACAATACAATACAATATGGTGCAGCACAGCGCAGTGCAGTACAGCATAGCGCAGCGTAGGACAGAGTATTGTAGCACAGCGCAGTGTAGGACAGTACAACCCAGTCCAGCATAGCGCAGTCCCGTCCTGCATTTCTCAGTCCAGTCCTGCATTTCTCAGTCCCGTCCTGCATTTCTCAGTCCAGTCCTGCATAGCGCAGTCCCGTCCTGCATTTCGCAGTCCCGTCCTGCATTTCTCAGTCCAGTCCTGCATAGCGCAGTCCCGTCCTGCATTTCGCAGTCCAGTCCTGCATTGCTCAGTCCAGTCCAGCTTAGCGCAGTCCCGTCCTGCATTTCGCAGTCCAGTCCTGCATTTCTCAGTCCAGTCCAGCATAGCGCAGTCCCGTCCTGCATTTTGCAGTCTAGTCCTGCATTTCTCAGTCCAGTCCAGCATAGCGCAGTCCAGTCCAGCATAGCGCAGTCCAGTCCACCATAGCGCAGTCCAGTCCAGTCCAGTAGTACTAACACTGTTCCGTATATTATCATGAACAGTTTATTGAACCAACGTCACAGCAGAAATGGATACTTATAGGATATCCTATGATTTTGAGGAATATCATTTTTATCTACGAGGTGATATTGATATCTGCACGAGAGAGCAAAGCGAACGAGTGCATATATCAATATCACCGAGTAGATTAAAATGATATTCTGAAAAAAATCATAGGATGTTCTTATTATCCTACACTTACAAGGAGTGTACTGAATGTATAATATCATTGTAAAATATGCCAAATAGAGTCCATTTGGCGGGAAATCAACAAGCGGAGTATATCGTCACAATATCCTCCGCATATTGGGTTTTCCGGAATATATCGTCACGATATCCTCCGCCCGGAGTATATCGTTACGATATCCTCCGGATATACATTTTGCCAATAAATATCAAATTTATTTTTTCATGTTATTATACATTTAGTACACTAAGTGTAGGATAAGTTGTTAATATCTATGCGCCGCACATGTACATCCTGATCTAGTTATTGACAGTATCGAATGGTGCTTATGTTATCAAAGTGAATAAATATATTTTGATTACTTTTGATTGAACAGCGATCGATTTTAATTCATAATGATGAAAGTCTCAACTTAAAAATAGAAAAAGATATTGGTCAAATCAATAAAACAAACATAGCAAGCAGTGACATTTTCATACATTGTTACACTGAACTATGTCCATGACTTCAGGATTACTTGTGACAATATTTTCAATTAATTATCGTATGATCTGTAAAATGAAGCCGAGATTGTCCCCATTGATCATCTCCGTCGCAATACCGAAACTATTGGTACGGAGGGGACAATCTCAGTAGCGATACAGAGGATCACACAATAAAAACGTTATAGAATGATTTAAAACTTGCAATACAGGATATATTCTGCCCTCGATATTCTGTATACAGAATCTTGAGCAGAATATCCTGTATTGTACTTCAAATCATTCAATAACTTATAATATATACAGTACAGACAGATTCTGCAGTTAGCATGTGTACGCTTTACATGTCGGCTGAGAAAAAGATGTAAAAAATGACCAGACCTCAGAAAGGGCTTTCAAAAAGTTCTGATAATTGCGTTTTGCTTTCACAACCAATTCATTTGTATTTCCCTTCAAAATATTTGGTGTACGCTATTGTATTTGATACTACTTTGATATTCGCTGAGGAAAGACTGGGTCAGACTCAGAATTATGATTTTTAATTAGAACTTATTTAACACAATTAAATTATTTTTACCCGTCACGCATTATTTGTTCACTATGGGTTTGCATCAGACAATGTGAATGACATGGAGACGGAATGTCGTGTCCGTTTGAACTTGACAATAGACTTTACATTTTTGTCGTACATCGATCTATTTTCCAATATCCAAATCAAAATGCTTTGTCAACGATAGTAATATAATGAAATTATCAATTTCCTACTTTGAAAAAATACTGTTCAGTCAGATGGCTGGATAATTGGACTTCACTTGAACGTTCCAAAAGGTGAGTACGTTGCTATTTCTATCGATATATTCTTTCTATATTTTATCGTTTATATTTTATATTTTATCATTTTCGGACGATGTCACAAATTGATGAAATTTAATATTATGATGTAATTAATAGATGGCTTTATGCATGGTTGACACGCGCTATTTACTGTTCAAACCACATAGTTCATATCAATAGGTTTACTAACAGAACGGAGGTCACGTTGACCTCGTTATAAAGGGTACACCCTAAAATATGACAATATGTAAATTAAATGATATAAATGTTTGTAAAATGACAGAAAGTCAGAATAACGAAAACGATTAATATCCTTGATCCCGTTATAAATTGCAGACGAATTCTTGAACCATGCGTTTTAATCAATACACAAGTATGATGACGTCACAAAGCCTACTGATGTTCATAAATGTTCAAGTAGTGGCTATCAGTTGTGAGTATTATATCTTAAATTGTTCTTGTAGTCTTTTGATACTGTATCTTCGTTTGTTTCCCTTTCCTCTAACAACACGTTTCGGAATAGCGAATACAAATTATTTCAATATGATTTTCAGCAATGTGTGCTAACAACAACTTCCCTTGTGACACAACAAAAGAAAATTGTTGTGGATGTCCAAGCAAGTTTAATGACCCTTTCGATAACGTAAGTACAATCAATAAAATAAACAGGAGCACACGCGTCTCGAACTCGCAACCTCATGGTTACGGCGCCCAATCGCCTCACCTAAACGTGCTGGCGCTCAAGCCCTCTCGTCAATTCGACAAAAATAGCAAGGAAATGCTACTTGCTACAATGTAGATAGTTGTCATAAATAACTATGAATGTATATCGTAGTTATAGACATCATACATTTTAGATTTAGTATTACCGTTCGGCGGTGCTCTTCAAATCATGTCAATTGTTTTATCGCCTATTTAGTCAAGATGATAATGAATTTATGCCCCGGACTCAATGAGTTGTAGATGGTTAAAACTCCGTATGTGTTGTATAGGAGATCAAAACTCCATTTAACATTCTGACATAGAGAAGTACCCTAGCCAGGGGAGGGGGGGGGGGTTCGCAGGGTTCGGGCGAACCCCCCCCCCCTGTTTGTTGTAATTTTAAGATTTCGGATTATTGTGTCAATAATTGGTTGAGTTAAATATATAGTGTCTAGCTCTAATACGTGAATACGTATTTATATTGCAGCAAGTAACATTGCCTTATTCACTCAAAAACTATTTAGCTCATATTATACGTATTTACATTGTAGCAAGTAACATTGCCTTATTCACTAAAAACTATTTAGCTCATATTATACGTATTTACATTGTAGCAAAAAACATTGCCTTATTCACTCAAAGTCTATTTAGCTCATATTATACGTATTTACATTGTAACAAGTAACATTGCCTTATTCACTCAAAGCCTATTTAGCTCATATTATACGTATTTACATTGTAGCAGGTAACATTGCCTTATTCACTCAAAAACTATTTAGCTCATATTATACGTATTTACATTGTAGCAGGTAACATTGCCTTATTCACTCAAAAACTATTCAGCTCATATTATACGTATTTACATTGTAGCAAATAACATTGCCTTATTCACTCAAAGTCTATTTAGCTCATATTATACGTATTTACATTGTAGCAAGTAACATTGCCTTATTCACTCAAAAACTATTTAGCTCATATTATACGTATTTACATTGTAGCAAGTAACATTGCCTTATTCACTAAAAACTATTTAGCTCATATTATACGTATTTACATTGTAGCAAAAAACATTGCCTTATTCACTCAAAGTCTATTTAGCTCATATTATACGTATTTACATTGTAGCAAGTAACATTGCCTTATTCACTCAAAGCCTATTTAGCTCATATTATACGTATTTACATTGTAGCAGGTAACATTGCCTTATTCACTCAAAAACTATTTAGCTCATATGATACGTATTTACATTGTAGCAGGTAACATTGCCTTATTCACTCAAAAACTATTCAGCTAATATTATACGTATTTACATTGTAGCAAATAACATTGCCTTATTCACTCAAAGTCTATTTAGCTCATATTATACGTATTTACATTGTAGCAAGTAACATTGCCTTATTCACTCAAAATCTATTTAGCTAATATTATACGTATTTACATTGTAGCAAGTAACATTGCCTTATTCACTCAAAACCTTTTTAGCTCATATTAAACGTATTTACATTGTAGCAAGTTACATTGCCTTATTCACTCAAAACCTATTTAGCTCATATTATACGTATTTACATTGTAGCAAGTAACATTGCCTTATTCACTAAAAACCTATTTAGCTCATATTAGACGTATTTACATTGTAGCTAGTAACATTGCCTTATTCACTAAAAACCTATTTAGCTCATATTATACGTATTTACATTGTAGCAAGTAACATTGCCTTATTCACTAAAACCTATTTAGCTCATATTATACGTATTTACATTGTAGCTAGTAACATTGCCTTATTCACTAAAAACCTATTTAGCTCATATTATACGTATTTACATTGTAGCAAGTTAAATTCCCATATTCAGTCGTAGCCTATGGTGGCGAATGCGATGATGACTGCATACAAAACTTGCCTGCTTTCAGTTCATGTGCTATTGCACAGGAGGGTACGTATGTCAGGTGCAAGATCTAAAAGTTCATTCACAATTCACAATTCATTCACCAAAATTCATTTAATATTTTGTATGTTCCAAAAGTGTACACAATCTACTTTTTTATTTAATAATGATACCAGTTAACTTTTATTTTACGGGTATTCTTAACAAATCAACAGCGAGGCTTCGTTTTCAAAGGTCGCTTTTTAAAGGTAACTAAATGGTCATACCATACCATAACTAATGGTCATAACTATGCCTTTTAAATCAAAAATACAGTTTCCATAGACACTGCCTGATATAAAGAATGACATATATCTCATCTATTGTCTCTAAAAATATATTCATGAGTTTAAAAGATGGCATTACTGATATTCATCTCTCACTGGTCAATCGATTTTCAAGCATATTGCATGTTTATCATTCCCGTATGAATAACTTATGAAGCGTTTGGTTACGTCATCATTCATTGCACACCTCTATACGTCCATAGGTGTGATATTCTAAAGTATTGCAACTATATATAAAAATATCATATGTAAAGTTATACGTTAAACGGGAATAATAATATCAAACATGCTAATTTTTCAGAGGCAATGGGTGAATAATGATATCGCACATGTGAATTTTTCAGAGGCAATGGGTGAATAATGATATCGAACATGTGAATTTTTCAGAGGCAATGGGTTAATAATAATATCGAACATGTTAATTTTTCAGAGGCAATGTGTGAATAATAATATCGAACATGTTAATTTTTCAGAGGCACTGGGTGAATAATAATATCGAACATGTTAATTTTTCAGAGGCACTGGGTGAATAATAATATCAAACATGCTAATTTTTCAGAGGCAATGGGTGAATAATGATATCGAACATGTGAATTTTTCAGAGGCAATGGGTGAATAATGATATCGAACATGTGAATTTTTCAGAGGAAATGGGTGAATAATAATATCGAACATGTGAATTTTTCAGAGGCAATGGGTGAATAATGATATCGAACATGTGAATTTTTCAGAGGCAATGGGTGAATAATGATATCGAACATGTTAATTTTTCAGAGGCAATGTGTGAATAATAATATCGAACATGTTAATTTTTCAGAGGCAATGGGTGAATAATAATATGGAACATGTTAATTTTTCAGAGGCAATGGGTAGACAAGAAAGGGGGACATTTTGTAAGTTCTAAATATCACATTGAACATTCGTATTGATTTTTTTAATCTGAAAAAAACATGTTTAGAAAGATAACTAGATGCATATATGTTGATCAACCATTAATTGGCCATATTGGTGCTGTATGAGACGTTGGTCATCAACATTTTGTGCATGTTTGTCCTATGTTTTTCCTTTCTTATATCACGAATTCCACACAACTTTTTTTACTTTTATCCTGAACAAAATGAGCCAGCTCGTCTTCGTTTTCATCCGATGTAAAAATTAAAAAGGCGCAAACGATCGTTTCTTCAAAATGGAGGCTTCTGATTAATGTTCTTGAGGATAAAAGTTGACAGTTAATTTCATGAAATTTTGGGGTAAACATGCCGTTGAAATTTCGTTTTCCATTAAGTTTGAAATTTAATTACACTGGTGGTTTTGTAAAATGGCTAAACATAGTTTGAAATCTAGTTACATAAACATGTTTAAGATTTTACATTTTTAAAACATTTAGCATATGGCCACGATATTGTATTTGACATAAACATCAGCAAAAGTACAGGCAAAAATGGCAAAATAAAATATGGTGAAATAGCGAACGGCACTGCAACAGACTTTATGGTGAAGCTTGCCAGAGAGCTCAGGATAAACACAGAGCCAAAGGGAACCATCATCGGAGCATTATGTTTCTTTGGCAATTTAACGATGCATTTTGGGTTGAATAATTTCACTAATGTTGATGATTTGGTAAACGGTCTGTTTAATATGGATCTGACACCAAAGGATAATGCCAAGCCTCATAAGTCGTTTGATTTTATCCGAGAGAACTATTTCCAAGATTCAATATATGGTGGACGAAGAGACAACAGAAATATAGTAATTGGTGAGTGAAACATACACGTATTAAGCCTCTTTGTAATTGACTAAGTAGAGCGACAGGGAAACCTATAGTGTTCCTCACCAAATGGCTATTACTTTGACAGAATGTATCCGATTATATCATTTATGTTTTGCAATGTGTGTCATGACTATATTCTTAACAGTAACAGGACAACTCATCTCTTAGACAACTCATCTCCAAGACATCTCATCCTAAGACATCTCATCACAAGACATCCTATCCCAAGACAACTCGTCCCTAAGACTACTCATCCAAAGACAACTCATCCCGAGACATCCTATCCCAAGACATCTTATCCCAAGACATCTCATCACAAGACATCCTATCCCAAGACATCCTATCCCAAGACATCTCATCCCAAGACAACTCATCCCGAGACATCCTATCCCAAGACATCCTATCCCAAGACATCTCATCCCGAGACATCTTATCCCAAGACATCTCATCCCAATGCAACTCATTCTGCTTGTATAATTGATAAATGATTTTGTCCTCCATATTATTTACATGTAGATCCCATTTTCATTTTTACTACTACAAAGGGATATTAGATTATACACTCAATTTTATATGAGTTGTCTTAGGGATGAGTTGTCTTTGAAGGTATCTTAGAGATGAGTTGTCTTAAGATGAGTTGTCTTAGGGATGAGTTGTCTTTGGATGAGTTGTCTTAGGGATGAGTTGTCTTGGGATGGGTTGTCTAGAAACCTTCTTGACTATAGTCACCACATTGAATATGATATTTTGTTAGATAAACGTTAAGTCTAAAATTGGCAAAATACAACAAGTTCACAGTTATTCAATGACAATTACACAAATGGGCGTTTTTCATTATAGTGTTCGATGATGGTATCTACAGTCGCCAAGGTCACACACAGATGGACAGAAAATTCAGGACTTCGATTGAAAATCTACACATGGTGTCAGAGGTGTTTATCGTCGGTGTAAGGAATGGATTCTCGGTTACGCAAGCGGAAGGTGAGTTGAGGCCTTCTACCAACCTAGCTCACAATTGCATCCGACTCATCAATAATTTGAAGTCGGATTCATAAGGGATTAATAAAGTCGTTTGCCTTAACACCTTCCGAGTTTTCATTGTTTTCGACTTGACCCAATTGTTGCATAGGAAATTAGGCAACCATGTAAGTTAATAGAAACCTAGACAATACAGTTACATTTGTGACAATAAGACGCAATGGCATGTTAGACTGTCATTCTTACCAAATAACAGGATTGATACATTTCGGTGTTGAAACCACTCACGAAATAGGCAAACCTCGAAACTGCCTAAAATATTTTAAACCTTATCTCAAAAACGATAAAATTAATAAATTTAAATAGCTTTTAGGATCCCATACGTATTTTAAAGAGCTGTGTTGTATGAAACACTCGATCATTTAAAATGGTATATCTGAATGAGTTGTTTGATTGATCGCTGGTTAGTGACATCGATCAATGTCATCCGGGACCTTAGCTTTTAAGTGCCCTAAATTAACGAACGTATTTGTATGTATTTAATTCAAGCATAAATAAGTAAACAGATGACCTTCACATGACTTAAACTTGATCTTGCCTCAATGTCATCCGGAACCTTTTAAGTGCCCTGAATTAACGAACGTTGACTTATTTATATGTATTTAATTCAAGCATAAATGAGTTAACAGATGAACTTTACATGACTTAAACTTGACCTTGCCTCAATGTCATCCGGGACCTTTAAGTGCCCTAAATTTACGAACGTTGACTTATTAATGTGTATTCAATTCAAGCATAAATGAGTAAACAGATGACCTTCACATGACTTAAACTTGATCTTGCCTCAATGTCATCCGGAACCTTTTAAGTGCCCTGAATTAACGAACGTTGACTTATTTATATGTATTTAATTCAAGCATAAATAAGTAAACAGATGACCTTCACATGACTTAAACTTGACCTTGCCTCAATGTCATCCGGAACCTTTTAAGTGCCCTGAATTAACGAACGTTGACTTATTTATATGTATGTAATTCAAGCATAAATGAGTAAACAGATGACCTTCACATGACTTAAACTTGACCTTGCCTCGAAGTGATATTGCTTTAGTAATTTAAAATTCAATGTTACTTGTCTATTTCGATTTTACTTGTCACATTTTGTCACGGTCTAATATACGTGTAGGGATTGGTCGAATTAGATCCACAAGTTTTTGAAAATATGTGTATCCCCGATTCAATTTATTTTCATAGTTTTTCAAATCAATAATTTTTCCATCCTTTATAACCGCAGATCTAGCTAATATCAAAAGTTCCTGCGACCCACACAAAGAAATGCTTTAATCTAATTTAGTAGGAATGAAATGTCCAATGCTCTTAGGATGAAAAAAGTTAATTAATAAGAAGTTGATTCATTCAATTAAATAAATAATTTCATTTTTTTTTATATTTCAGCAATAAGGAACTGGAATATGATCGCTAGTGACCCGGATGGTGCACATATAATTACTATGTCATTAGAGGAATACAACGATGGCCGTATTGATGACGTAGTACACAGAACGCTCGAATTACTACCGAAATCGAAGCAGACATAGTTATCTTGGCTAAAAAATAACTATTTAAATGACATACTGAAATACATACTGTCAAGTATTTTAGTGTAAGACAGGGAGTCATAGAAATAAAGAACTTACCAATTTAGCGTACGCGTGACTCGATTTGTTAATGCGCATGTGCCAAATCACACATGGAGTATTGAAAGCGAAAGTGAAGCACACAATATAAAAACATGCTTTTGAGATTTAGCTTGGAATCCAAACGAAATGAAATTGTCACATTCATCAAATGCCATGTGTATTGTGTACGTCTTGTGTGTAAATTATGGAACAAATCCATTGTCAGGTTGATTGGTTTGGTTACTTTATTAAAGGAAGAATCAGAAATATTGAGTATAGGGAGTGGCAAAATTTCTATCAACATGTACAGTTGACCTTCCAATATATTCCTTGCTATCTACAATACAAGGGTTGTCCCAGAAGTAATGCACTATATACTATATCTATACACTATATCTTTTTTCAGTATTCTTCAATTCAGCTGAAATTAATATCCTAAAGTTTCAGCATCATACATAAATATTAAGTCTTAAAATGGTTGCTATAGCAACACTGGGGTAGGAGTGGGTGGGGCGGTTACAAATTTTTCTTACTATGAAAAACTCCAAAGTGTTATTTTGTTAATTAATATTTCTTTCTTTTAAATGATCAAAATGTTAGGGAAATTGATGAACTCATTCAGCATGATGTTCATCAAGTACAAATAATGGCATTTAGCACTGTGATGTCATAATACCACAGTTCAATAACCACAAAATCCAATTCAGTCACAGTCAAGAAATTGCAAAAATGGCTGCAATTCTCAACCTCGGACAGATATATTATATTGGCCTCGGGATAATCCCAATATCCTGAACTTCAAATAGGACAATCTCTATATATAAATGGGGATTGATGAAATATAAAAGTTCTACAATGAAAATGATTAGGTTTATGTTTTTGGATGTTTTATAGGGCTTATCAAAAGGGAAACGCATACAAAGGTTCCCAATGGACCAAATAAATTGTGGTTTGTTGTTTAAAGGTCAATTGTGGTATTATGAAGGAGAATGGGAGAATATAGAATGATGAACAAATGGGAAAAAATGGTATATATATATGCATGTGATAAAGATGTAAAATGGGAGAAATGTTGTGTATTTTCATGTGGTAAAGATGTCAAATGGGAGAAATGCTGTGTATCATGTGATAAAGATGTTAAATTGGAGAAATGTTGTGTATCATGTGATTAAGATGTCCAATTGGAGAAACGTTGTGACAAGTGATAAATATGTCAAATGGGAGAAATGTTGTGTATATACGTTTGATAAAGATGTCAAATGGGAGAAATGTTGTGTATATACATGTGATAAAGATGTCATAATCACTGTTGTTTTGCCGACCGTCTGATTTCTTAGATTTTTGGGTTCAGAATATCCTTCGTCTACTTATATTTATTATTAACATATATTGCTTTGATTTACCTCTACAGCTTAATAGCTTATAGTGTTTATTGGTAGTCCTCGTATATCGAGTATACATTGCAATGTTTATCAAATATGTGTACGATTTTGTTATCGATTCACTCGTTCTAGTTGCAGTTTGATGACCACCCAGAGACCATTAACATTTGACAGCTTGTAGGAGGTCATTTGGTCCATATGGATTGTTGGTGATCTGATTTTTAAGGGAGCTACAACGTAAATGATGGAATACAACATGCAAGGAAATAGTACCAACAAAAAGTTCCGAAAAACAAGCCTAATTTTCTGTTAGAATCCATTTTCAAAAAATTGTTTAGTACTAAAACATCAAGTAAATGGACGCTTTATGTAACCGTGAACGCAAAGTCCATGAATCAATACAGAAATGTATATAGCGCGCATACAAAACAAGCGCTATAATTACTCTACTTCTGATACCCGATCAGCTTCAGTTTCTTGTTCAGAACGGGAGATTTGCAATTTCACGTTGGTGTCAACGGGAATTATTTCACTCATGTGTATTGGATACTGTGCTGGCAATTTTTACTTCGATGCTTCGGAGGGAACACTCTATTTATTTTGAAAAACAATTCTTATTTAATTATATTCAAACTGTATGTATGCGGACAGTATGCTTTATTTACTGGATTTACCGAATGAATTTATTTTTGAAAGGGACTTACTTGTTAATAAGCCAGATCCTGACTTGAGCAGGGGATGGATTATAACTAACTGTGCTAAGATACTTTGCAACGACACCTGCCTGTAAACATATACATATTGTGAGTGTCATGTATTTCACTGATAAATACAGGGAGTTAAGAAATACAGAACGAGATACTTTTGGGCGGAAGTTAACTCAACTTTATTGATAGCCGCATGCGCCAATTCCACATGCAATAGTGAAAGCGAAACTAGAACGGGTAGCATAAAACCTTTACAGTGAGAAACCTTCAACGAATTTTGCTCGGGATCTCATTTCATATTCTCCATTTTGTATGCCGTGTTTGAAGTGATATAATGAAATCACAAAATATTAAATAATCATGAAAGATTAATACTCAAATGCATAATTATAGACCAGTGGATTTGTAATATATTCTTAAATTATTGCATTTGTAATGCAGTTACAGTGTAAATATGATCCCATGCTTTAGAATATATACATAATATAAATATTACGCTTTTTATTTTACGTTTTTCATTCTTTTGAATGAAAATGTAAAATGTTATATGTGAGCTGAAAGGGCAAATACTTACTACATGTGGAGCGGCCATTGATGTACCACTTTTGGTTTCGTAAGCGCTATCACTAGTATACGATGCACTGTAGATGTTTGAGCCCTGGAAAACAAGCATTATTGAAAAGAACGAGTGGTTTTATATCTAAGAACACTTATGGTATGTGAATTTTGAACTAAATTTATTTTAAATAAGTATGGGATAAATTGTTGAAACCAACACTTACTGGAGCGTAGATGTCGACGCAAGTTCCATAGTTCGAGAAATGCGACCTACTGTCCAAATCGGTGGATGAAGCAACAGTTAAACTAAATGCACAAAGTCATAGTTTGTTAAACGGCAGCATATATTGCATATGACGATGTTTACACCACCACAGATCACAACTATACAATATTTGGCTACACGGAAGAGACCAGAATGCTATGGCCAGATTTAATTCTAAGGATTTTATAAATAAGAAATTCGTTGATACAATTTGAAAATCTTAATACTTAGAATGGCATCTAGAACATAATATATATATTCATATCCTGAATAACTTTGTATGGTAACATTATACAAGAAAGAAAAGTGTGAAATTGCGCTCGCAGTTGTGGATCCAAATGTTCCATAGAAAAGTTCTTCTCTTTTCTTACGCTGATTAGAATATTTTGATTTTTAAACTAGTTACAATTTTTTCAGACTATTCTACTTAAATCCTCAAGATGGCCTCCTATTTCTGAAACACAACACCTTATCAAAATGCTAACATCTTAGCCATTGGTCGCAATTATTATTAACTAGAATTGAAAACTATGATATAAGGAAATAAAACAGATTATAAAAAAACTTACGCTGATGGTTCTTTAGCGGGTGAGTTGCTGCAAGCGTCTACATTATCGTTTCCAGCAGAAACTACACCAACTATTCCTTCATCTACCGCAGCTTTAACGGCATTGTTCACATCAGGAGCATTGCATGGACACCCAATAGACATACTGTAAATCAGCATTAAACAATATTTTATCATTTTATTTTGTCTGCCCATTTTTTCTCACACATATAAATTAATGCATAGAATTCAACCCCCTTCATTACAAGGGTCGATCAAAAAGTTATTTACCGTTGGCTTCAGATTTTATAATAAGAGGAGTTTGAGGCTCAATCTTTAACACGAGACAGTGTTCACGATGGTGTTGTTAGTGGATTCATATACGAAAATCAATTGTCTAGTATGTATCTTGTATTTATTGCATCAATATTCGCAACATCTTCGGTTTTTACTCCACGGAGTAAGTTAAACCGAACATAAACAAAGACAGTTACAACAAAAGATACCTACTATCCCATATATAATTGACTGTCTTACACTACAGATATGTTAAGACGCTTCGAAACTATATTCGATCCGATCAAATATAAAGGATAGGTATCGATATATAGAACTAAATTCAATATTTTTTCTCTGAAACCATTATTTCCCAAAATATGATAAAATAGACAGCTACAATGCAATAGTCATCTTTTCAACTGTACCGATTTTATTTCATAATTTTTTTTTGTAGACCCCTCCAACACAGTATTTTCTTTTTGCTACCAATCCTTTGGGATTTTTTTCGAATTTTCCGAAGCTGATTCGAACAAACTAAGATACACATTTGCTGCGTAATCATCTTAATATTCTAGTTAATTAAAGACAGTTTGGTTGAATTAAGATTAGTATCGAAAAAGTATCCAACGGTATCCAAAACCTTGGATTTAATGAAATTATTCAGCAGTTGTGTTGAATTATTTTACACTTTTGTGTATAGAGGGCTACTTAAATGCGTGGTGTTCATTTTTGACCAAACAATTTTCAATTTAAAGAAATCACTCATCAACAACAGTTTAGATGTCACTAATAATTGTAAAATCTATCTATTTATCATTTATGCTCCTTTGAGAGCAACGAATTAGAACATAGATAGTTTATATTGTGTCCTGGTAAACCAAGCTACCACTCAGGCCTGTATGCTTTGTTTCACGCACAAGTTGGTTTTCAGGAGCCGAGCCTAGTATTTTTTTCGAGGATAGGTATTCTGGCATACCCACCTCATGGTCATCCGGTATTTATTTTATTATGCACCTCCCTTGGTTAATATCATATCCCTACCATTAATTTACTGTAGATAAATAAAAGATGGTGTTAAATTGTCAAGAAATACTTTATTTTAAAGAATGGGTTTACTAAAACAGAAGCCGAGCCTAGTATTTTTTTCGAGGATAGGTATACTGGCATACGGGATGGTTGGAGATCTCGTTGCTTTATTACTGGATAGAACGAGACCTTGCTGCCACGTATGGCAATAGACCCTGCAGCTCTTTACCAATCAGATTTGAGTATATTAATGAGGTGCATAATAAATGTATTTTATTGCGTTTGAGTCACGTAGTACGAATTAGCAAGAAAAAGATTTCTATTTGGTCGTTTAACGTTATGAAAATAGAACGGTAATTGTGAATGCAGTATTACTGAGTGAACGGTGTATGTATTCGTGAATAAGATCACTTCGGCTCTAAGCGGCGAGATAAACGGACGTTCGTTACTACCAACTCATAATCGTCACCTTGAAAATAATACGACCATGCAGGCACAAGCTTACTGAAGGAATTCTCGGAAACAAATCCCAACAAACGGAAAATAAAATGAAGCTAAGAATAATCATTCTAAACAGAAAAACTTTCTATCAATTCAAAGAAAAACAACATAATTTGGAAGAAAAATGGGCACAAACAACAGTACATGGACAACAAAGGAATTGACAAGAAAGCGGACCATGCATTTGCAGAACAAACGGCCATTTGTATGAGGCATGCATAGTTTAGAAAAAGGGTAAGGAACTTTTGCCAGATTTAAATTGAAGTAATCATTTATGAAGACCAGAGTGGGGCTGGTTGTGATACTTTGGCAGGATATCAAAAGCTAATTTAAGAAGGTTACAAATAAATATAACAAATACAAAGAAACCTATATTTTCATATCAATATCTGTAAGTTGAATAATCTTATTCAATGAATATAAGCGATTATTTTATGTAATCTATAATCTTTAAAGTTAAAAAATTGATAACAATAGATACCAATCAGTCAGTGAAAGTTTCAGGCAAGATGACCGCACAAACAATGATGGGGAAAATGAAGCAGACAAAGAAGCTCATCGATGGTTCAACAAAAAGAGGGGATTTATTACGGCTGCGGAATTATAGAAAGACAATCTGCTAAGTGGGTATTACAAGAACCAAAACTGCACAATTAGGGCACAGTCAGCACTATCAATGGTATATTCTAAAAATATAGGGAATAGTATACTAAAGACTAAAAGTCCAAAAGGCTTTTGTGACAATATTTCCCGGAAGTGTTATATTTCCATTTATCCTTCAAACTGTGACATTTATGCTAATAACTCGACATGTATATGTTTCTTACATACCCAATACGATCAAAAACGTTACTAACATACCAAATGAAAGGTGATTTCCTGGTCAAACTTGCAAAAGTTTGTCCAAATTCGCACTTGAACCGAATATTTACCGGAAGTGTTTATATTTCCATTTAGGTGTCACTACGGTAAATCATTGAAAAATATTGAAAAAATCACAAAATTCAAGTTTGGGATACATATCGATTTTTAAATATCACTACGCAAACATAGGGACTCATTTTTAGGTAAAATCCCTGCTTCACCGATGAAAATTAACGAATAAAGTAGTTCCAGTTTACGGCACTATATTTTGGCGATTTCTTTCTAAAATGGCACATTTAGAAAGTAATTGGCCTCAGCTTTACATACATACCTCAAATGGCCACAATGCATATACTTAAGGTGCCATGGAAGTTAACAGGAAATGACAAAACAGGAATTGACACTTTTTTTTGTATTTTTAGACATTTTTTGAACAAAGATAACAGAGTTCTGTTTTGACCTCCAGTCAATTCAACTAGTTCCAAATACCATTTACAGGTCCAGGATCACAATGTTCATGGTCAGAATGACCCTAACCTTTTCCGCCCTATGAAAATGTGACTGAAAAATAGCTAAAAGTAGGTGCACAGGAAAGGTCAATGAACAGAATCTTGTGATTTTTCCAGTAAATGTGTCCAATGTATTGCTCTAATGATAAAATCTTTGAAAATTTGATATCATTCATAGAAAAAGAAAAAAATTGAAAAAAAAAACTGATTTGAAAAGCAATCTATTTTCCTTTTTATGACCGCCATTTTTGTTTAAGAAAATTTTCTAAAATTTCAAAGATTGTATCAGTTAGAGCATTATATTGGGCACGTTTTCTGAAAAATTCAAAAGATTCTGTTCAGTGACCTTCCCTAGCTCCTACTTTTAGCTTTTTTTCAGTCACACTTTCAAAGGGCTAAAAAGGTTATTTCATCATGTTTAGGGTCATTCTGACCATGCACATTGTGATCCTGGTCATGTAAATGATATGTGGAAATAGTTAAATTGACTGGAGGTCAAACCAGAACTCTGTTATCTTTGTTCAAAAAATGTCTAAAAATGCAAAAAAAAATTTCACTTCCTGTTTCGTCATTTCCTGTTAACTTCCATGGCACCTTAAACCTACTATGCACACCATTGAAGTTGGCATGGCTTCGTTTTTAAGTATTAAAAAACACTGTCCTACCCGGAAGTGGTATTTACCGTAGTAACACCTTAATATCCAAAAATGGAAAAATTTTACCATGATAATTTATGCTCATTCAGCATTTTTTCAAACAATTGAGTTATTTCATGCTCAAAACAGCTGGATTTTCAAACTTTTAACACATTTTCTACAAAATCTAGTCATATTTGGGGAAATGGGTGAGGGCTGAGTCTCTAAAAACTGGCCAAAATGACCTTAAATTGGGTCATCAACTTCAGACATCTCATGCAAAAAATTTAGATGCAAAATCCCCGAGATTATCTCATTTTGTAAATCATTATAGCAATGCCTTTCAAGTATTACACAGAATGTACTGAAATGTATGTTGCTAAATGCAAATATTTTGAGTCAAATGTGGTCCCCATGTGGAAAATCTGCCCTTTTTCTCCCCTTTACGCCAGTTAGGCCCCAGTGTATTGTGACATCATACTCATACCATTGCTACAATGTAGCATTTTACAAATTAATCATGATTACTCTTCCTGTGATACACAGTTGAACACTGTTTTTGCATCGTGATATTCCCCAGTGTGTTGACTATCACGCCAGCTTACTTAGTTACTTACTAAGTACGCAATAACCACCATCAAAGACCTGCCGGCACCTATTTATTTTTGGGTTGGTAATGGAATTTTACAAGGGCAATACGAGAAGAATTCAATTTTTCAGAATTTCATGATAATTACGGTAGATTTTACGGTAGTTTGAACAAGAATACTTTAAATTCCAGCAGAAATATTGTAGTTTTCAAATATTTACGGTATATTTTTAGGCTGTTCTTATAGAAAAAATCTAATTATAATAAAATATTTTACGGTAGATTTTGGTAAAATTACAGTAGATTTTTACGGTCGTTTTTACAGGAAAAAACAGTATTTTTACGGTATTTGTGTTTTTTTACCGAAAAACGAATATTTTATGGTAGATGCCGGTAAAAATATGGTAGGTTGGCAGGTGTGAGTTACCATGGCAACCGTGGAAATGGGTAAAAATGAGAGCAAAAAACACCCAGACCCGCCATAATGGCACTTATTTTCAAAATATTTCGAGACATACAAATTTTCTTAAACTTTGATATCATCTAGAACACTTCTAGACAACAAAAATATCAAAAATTGGGGGAAGGTTTATCACTTCAATTTTTTGCAAGCCTTGGTCAAAGTAAAGCTACGAAAAAAGCACTCTTTTTCACTTTAGAATCACCTATTATCGCCCAAATGGCTATATGTTGTCCAGGTCGCCATGTTAAAAGTAGAATTAGAATGCTCTTCAGACAATGTTAGATAGCTTTCCTTTATCAC